CTCAGTAAAGAGCAATGGCTGTGAGTTTTCCTTCTCCCCTTCCTCCACTCCCCTTTCTTCTCTAGGGAGGTCTCATGGGGTCACACTCACCTGGAAGTTGGCGGTGGCCTGAGAACTTGGGATAACTGCAAGCATGACTGTCCTTGCCCTGGCCCGGTCCTCAGTCTCCATGACCTGCGCTTGTGCCTCAAGTTTCAGGAGCGCCTGAGTTATTTGGCATCCTGACTTGTGAACCCTGTAAGGTGGCCCAAGCCGCAGTCTGGTGGCCAGGCTCTGCCTATTCTTCTGGCTTCTGCTATAACTTGTCTTTTTCTGGGTTGGCTCCTCCTCACACTGGGCCTGCATCCTGCCCATGTATCCGTGGAGAGCTGGCCCATCCTAGAAACACAGATGTGGTCGGGTAGGAAGTGGCACTGTCTAGGCTGTCTAGGCTGTCTAGGCTGAAGCTGTGAGGACCAGGAGGTGACCGGCTTCTGCTCTCACCCTCAGGTTCCCGCTCTCAATTGCCCCCTGTGGGACAATTTCTCCAGAACCAGGCCACATTTATCCTCCTTCCTTCTATTTATAACACCTGTGGCTGATCCTTGTCAATAACAATAGTCCTTTGGGTCAATAACAATTCACCTCAGGGGTGAATGGCTGCCTAGTCTACCAATGCATAAATTAAGGCTTTGGAGACTTTTTCACTTGCCTTGGGTGCTTAGTCCTGCAATAGAGGAAGTCTGTTCTTCCTTAGCTGGCCACTAAGAACCATTTTTGTTCAAGGATTTGGATTTGACCTGACTGGGGCAGTGAGGGAACGAAGAAAGGATGACACACGGACACACATACAGAGAATAGCTGGGGTCAGTGGGCTGTGTACACTCTGGCGGAGTGGCACCAGATCAGAAGTATTTATTATGAACAACACAGGTAGAAGTTAGCTAGTCTGGGTAGGAGGGCTCTGTAGACAGCAGCCTGGGGCTGTCAACGTCCTGGAAAAGAAAGCGGCAGCTGCTCGTTTCTGCACACATTGCCCAGTCGTTTGTAGACACACATCAACACCGGGACAGAACCAGGGGAAGGCTTTGCCAGTTCTGAGCCTGACCTGTATGGGAAAGGTTTTGCCTTTTGCATGGATCTGAGGCACTGGGTCCTTGACATGCCCATGTCAACAACATGCTTTCACTCAGCACTTCACCCCTTCTTTACACATTCGCTCCATCCCTCAGTTCCCCACATGTGTTGGTGGTCTCCTGGCATCCCAGTTCTGAAGCTCGTATGATAGCCCTACCTGAAGGTGCACCTTGCTTGACCCACAGGGTTCAGTGAGAATGTGGGATGTAGACCAGAGGGAGGAGGCACATGACATTTAAGAGGGGAGGGTATGGTCGGAGCTCAACCCACTCAACACCCCACATTTCTTTCTGTAAGGTGATGTGTGTTGACAAAATGTGTGAACATGAGCATTGTTGCTAGAATGTGTATTGGGAAAATGTAATTACAATTAGGGCTTCTGGCTCAGGCTTTAGTTTCCTTAGCTATGACTTCAATTGCAGAAAGCTTTTCTGAACCTTTTCTTCCTAAACCCCAAGTTAGTGGGGATCCCAGCCGGAGAGCGACTCCAGGAGACCAGGCCGTGCCATTCTCACTGTGAGAGTGGATGGGTGGGTTTGTGTATTTGTTAGATCAGTGTGTGTGTGACTGTGTGAGTATGTGTGTGTGAGAGAGAATGTGTATTGCATCCCCTTTTAAGACAACTCCCAAGGAGCGCTCTACTAGAGATATGCGTGCATGGCTTGTCCTGTCAAATGTGGCCTCTGCCTCGCTGGTATGGCTGATATGGCTTGGCTGTGGGCAGCTGGGGTCTTCATGTGGGTTCCAGGAAGAAGGCCTAGGAGGCAGTGGGAGGGAGCTGTCTGGTGAACTGGGGGAGGACTCAGTGGTGAGAACGGGTGTTGGATAACCTTGCGTGTTTTCATGCGGGACATGCGGATCTGGGTCTGAGCTGCTTAGGACACCAGCAGGGGTGGTCCTGCCCACAGTGAGCTGGGCCCTAACATTAACCACCAATAAAGAAAATGCACTACAGACTTGCCTACAGGCACGTTTGATGGGCGTGTTTTCTCAGTTGAAGTTCCTCCTGCCGAATGACTCTGGCTTGTGTCAGGTTGGCATAAAACTAGTCAGCACGAGGGTGACTTGTAAACTTTTAAAATAAAAATTTCTGTTCATTTGTGGAACACACATGTATTTGTTTAGAAGGTATTTTGTACTTGTCAGTATACTAGACATTGGCAGTACACCACTGAATAAAGAAAGCATGCGTGCCCTTCATCCTGGCGTGGCTTACATTCCACCCGGGACACAGATGGTGCTCATTAAATGGTCACTCCTCTACATGTCTGCCAACCGTGATGTATGGGACGAAGACAATGTCAAGGATTTGATAAGTGTGTCTATCACAGGACCCAGACGTCTCTTTGTGGAGCCAGAAGTCTATGCAATGTGTCTGGTCAGGTATTTTGTTCCTGGGCATTTGTTGTTTAACCCAAGTATAGGAATTTAAAGACTGCTTTTTATGTAAATTTTCTCCCACATCCTGATTCATGGTGCTAATATTTTAGGGTTATAGTTAACATTCAAGCCATGAGCCGTTCCATGTGTTTGAGGGAACCCTCAGGCTTCCGATATGTCTTGCATGATTTTAGCCAAGGCATTGTCCCTGGTTTTGTCCAGTGTAAAACGACTTGCCAGTCACATGGTTTGAGAGTCCTGTTTGAGAAGGCTTGGGATGGACTTCCTCTGCTTTCTGTGAGCAGCTTCTATTTCTATAAAACTCTCCCTCTGTAGCAAAAAAGGTTTTGGGGGTGTCTCCCTGTTCAAGGTCTTCCAGAGTCTTGGTCAAGGACCTAAGTGATTGAAGCTGTTTCCATAGTGCCAGTCTCGGGCTTCTTCTTTTTCTGGTCACACTGTTTAATCTTGTGGTCTTAAAGAAGAGAGAGATGGAGTTAGAGGTTGAATTACCGTTTCCTTCTCTTGTTCCTTAAAGCTGCGCACCACTTCCCAGAGACAACCACTTTTCCCTTTACTCTCGGTGTTTGAAGAGGGCCAGAAGTGAGAACAGATGGGGACGAGAGATCTTGGGAGATTAGCTGGCATAAGGTTCTAAAGTATGATCTGGAGACTTAGTGTAACCAGGGGAGGCCCCAAGCCTCTTTAGGAGCCCAGGTTATTTTTGCGTAGGACGATATTTGTTTTTCTTCTTCTAGTGTCTCTCCATATGGTGGCATTGCCTAGCAGCTATAGATCCTGCATGTCACGGTAGACAAGATGCAGAAACAGATGAAAAGATCTGATTGTCCATCGTTAGGCCAGATGTTTAAAGACATTTGCAAGCTGACAAGATGGGTAAAGCAAGTCTGACAACCTCGGCTCCATTCACAGAAGCAACGTCAAGGCAAATGGAGAGAATTAATTCCACATCGCACCCATTGCACGCACCCCCTCATACATATATAAATAAACATTCAAAAGAAGTAGGAGTTTGCAAGACTGGGATGTAACTCAGTGATATAGCACTTGTCTAACTTGTGTGAGGCCCTGGTTTCCATGCCCAGGACCATGCATACACCATACACACACAGAAGAACTGAACGTCTTCCTAAAAATTTTTTTTTTACAGAAAACATGTTTTCCTTTTAAAAAAATATTTATATTGCTGGCCACAGAGGTGTGTGCCTGCTACTTAGTCCCTGCTACTAGGGGAGAAGGGAAGAGAGAGAAACTCTCTCTCTCCTCCCCTCAGCCCCCGCCCTTGCTCTTGCTCTAGTTAGATTTTATTTGTGTGTGTTTGTGTGAATCTATGCCATGTGTGTTCTGGTACCTTAAGCGGCGGAAGAGGGCATCAGATCCTCTGGAACTGGAGTTCCAGGCTCTTGTGAACTGCCAATGTGGGTGCTGTGAATTGAACTCAGGTCTTCCAGAAGAGCAGGGAATACTCTTAAGTGGTGAGCTACTTCTCTAAGTCCAGAAGGATTTCTTGAACTCAGGAATTTGAAGCCAACTTGGGCAACACAGTGAAGCTCCCACCACACACACACACACACACACACACACACACTCAAGAAAGAGCATATGAACATGTAGGCTTCTTGTTGATATTTTTATGTAAATTACTGTTTAATTTGATACTAAATACACCAAACCTCGATAGCACAAACAAAAGCCTTTGGGTCCTCAATAATTTTAAAGGACACAAAGGAGCTTTGAGACCACAGAGGCTTCAGCCACTGAGCAGGAAGATCAAGGATGTCCTAGGTATTTGGGCATAGCAGCCCCTTATGAATCCACCCTCATCCAACAGGACTTAAGCTCAGGATGCTCGATCTGTTCCTTGAGAACTAGGGGAATACCTTGGTGTCCACAGAAGGGATGGAGCTTTATGTGCTCCCAGCCCAGCTCCTGTTTCATCCACTGGGATGAAACAGCAGCACTGTGTATGCTGAGCACCTGCAAACACTGCTGAGCCCTCAGCTCCACACGCTGCTGTGTTCCTGCCTCCAGTTCCAGCATAGGAGTTCTCAGCCTTCTGAGCGTCCCTTCTGGGCTAGGCATCCTAAGTGGGGCTCCATTGACTTAAGGAAGACAGGACTGTGTCTCAGGAGGCACATGTCTCATGAGCCGGTGGTAATCCCAGATCAGATGCACCAAGGGGCTAGAGTGGCAGTCTGGCCAGATGTGGACTTGGGGAAGTGCCCAGCCCATCTGGGGCTCAATTCTCTGCTTGAAGGGGTCTTTTCAGTTGCCTTATACTCAGATTGGAGTCTGCAGCTTCGAGCAAGTGAAAACCCGTGAGCTTCCTCCCTTGGCTCCCCAGGACTTCACTGAGTGTCTCTGTGGTGGCAGCCAGAGGTTTCAAAGGTCACCCCAGCTGGGCGGATTAGAACAACAGATCTCCCAGCAAAGTTGGCTGCCCTGCAGAAGGCAAATTGCAACATCTGCGGGGAGGGTTAGAACAAAGCTCCTTACTTTCTCCGCCTGGCTCGCTCGGCTCTCCCGTTTCTCTCCGTTATTGCTGGACGTTGGACCAGAATCTCATCAGCAGTGAAGCTGGCCTCTGATCTGCCTTCTGTGAATGCTCCCTGGGGAGGAGGCTGCCGTCAGGTGTGTCTGGGGGTAGCCGTGTGTGGCCCTGCCCCACTTTGCTTGGGTGGGTCATGGTGAGGCAACTTGGCACAGCGGAGGAGCAGCTCAGTGCTGGATTAGGAGAGATTAGGGTATTTGTCAGGATTTGAGAGCGTTGCAGGGAGGATTAAGGAGGGCAGAGGGAGCCATCAGTGTTTGCGGTGTTTGTGGTGTTTGTACGCCAGTGGTTTTGCCACCTCTGATATGAGCTGTTGGGGGTTCTACAGGCTGGATGCCACACCTGCTGGGAAGCACCTCCCCGCAGGGAAGGTTAGGTATTTCCAATGTATCCTGTGACTTCAAGGTTCCAAGGTGATCTCATGTGTGTGTGTGTGCTGGAATAGGGGAGGGGCAGTTGGCTTTTTCAAATTCTCTTTGCTGGCTCACTTGACTTCTTGTCTGTCTCTGTGTCTCCGAGCACTGCTCTGTCTTGGCTGTACTGACAAGTTTCTTTCCAGGTTCAAGAGACAATTTACAGCGCTTTTGATCAAATTAAAGTCCAATCTACTCAGAGCTGCTTTGGGTGATTAATTAATTGTGTTACGTGTAGAAACCTTACACGGAGCTTGGCTCTGCCCCAGACATCAGTAGGCCACTGCTCTTGTGACCCCTTCCTTGTGCTTTTCTGCTTCTCCTTTGTCTATTGGTCTGAATTTGACTGAGTACTGAACGGATCCCCTGGCTGGGGGCGGTTGATTGCAACAGCTGAAAATTGCCCTGCTGATAGAGATCGCGGCACACGGCATCCAGTCTCTCTGGTATTCTCTGCTGGAATGTGGTCACCAGGCTCGGTGGAGAGAGAGAGGAACAAGAGGATTTGGCTCAATTTATTATTAATTTCCCTCAAATATGCAGTAGCCATCAGTTGACAGCATGGCTGGAATTTGACTGCAGCTACGGAGCCCTGGGCTGAGGGTGGGTGCAGCTGTTTGGCATGGCTACACAGCTTGGGACTTGGATCTGTGACAGGGGAGTCACCCTCCTCCCGGGAGCATCCTCGCAGGTGGTTCCTGGCAGTTTTGACTAGTCTGTGTCTTTTCAACCAGAAGCCAGACCCCTTCTTGTCTTTTGTTCTTTAGGCCAAGTGTGTCGCTTTTTAAATAGAATTCAAAATTAGAAATTCTAATATGCGTGTGAACATACATAGATGTAAATGCGGGTTCCCGGGTGCCCCGGTGTGAGTGTGGCGGCAACCCCGACGGAGGCCCTCATTTTCCATCTTGCTTGAGTCAAGGTCACTATTGTTGCTCTGCCGCCTATGCCAGGCTAGGTGGCCCCGAGCTTCCTGGGACTCTCCCATATCTGCCTCATGCCTGATGTTTATACATCTGGAGATCCATTCATCTCACACGTGCAGAGCGAGAGCCTTTGTCTTCTCTGCTGTCTCCCTAGGCCAGGTGTGTTTCTACTGGTGAGATTATCTAGGACCCTCCAGAGATCTCGATGAACTCCAGGAGGTTTGGAGTCACGAAGATTTGGCGAGCCCCTCTGGGGAGTCTTTGGTCTTCTAGAGCAGAAAGGGGAAGGCTAGTCAGCTTCTTGTCATGCTGACAAATACTTCAGAGACATGGATTCAGAAGCAGGAGGGATTTATTTTGGCTAATGGTTTTATGTTTTATGGGTGGCTGACTTCCTTGATTCTGAGACCATGGCAAGACTGAACATCTTGGGGAAGGATGTGCTGAACTGAGCAGCTGTCTCACAGTGGCCAGGAAGCAGAGGGCTGGGAGAGGAAGATGCCCATCAAAGGCAGACCCCTTTCCCGTGATCTACTTCCTTCACCCAGGTCCCACCCCATAATAGCCCATTGGTGTGAACTCATAAGTGCATGAATCCACTGACAACCAGCCACTGCCCAGTGATCAGATCCAGCATCTTGGAACCTATTTGCTCAAACCTTGAATAGGTAGGCTGTGGGGAGATACTCCAAGTCACAATGGGGAGTCACCTCTCCTGCTCTTCTTCCCATGGCAGCTCTCAGGCCCCTGCCTGTTGTATCTCCAGTCATTGAGGACAGCCGGACAAGCTTTGTCTGAACCTCCAGAAATCCAGTAGAGTATGACGGCCCTCTGCTCCTGCTTTGGTTTCTACTGTTAAACTCGGGAACCCCAGGTGAATGTAGCTGGTTTATTGGGCTGTCCTCAGTGACTGGAGGTACAACAGGCAGGGGCCTGAGAGATGGCTCAACAATTAAGATCACTTTGCCGAACTTCCAGAGACCCATGTTCGGTTCCTAGGACCCATGTCAGTTGGTTCACAGTTGCCTCTAAGTTCAGTTCTAGGAGATCTCTGTCCTCTTCTGACACTTACACGCAGGTAACATACAGCTGCACACACACACATAAATATAATTTTTTAAAAATTTAAAAGTTATACCAGGTAGAATATACCAGAGCTCTCGTTACTGTAATGAGAATGCTCTCAATACTGTAATAATTATGTACAATAGCCAAGGCATGAAATCAATTCAAGTAGCCAACAATGGATGAATGGATAAAGACAATATAGCGCATATATATATATATATATATATATATATATATATATCCATGCATAGTGGAATATTATTTACCCTTAAAAAAGAAAATCCTATTGTTTGTGACAACATGTAGATAACTGGAGGACATTATGTTATGTTAAATAAGTTAGGTACAGAATAAAGGAGAAATTTTAATCCATATTAGGAAACTTAAAAAATAATTTCATAGAAATTGAAAGTAGAGTTGTGGAAATTATAGTTTGAAGAAGTAAGATGTAGAGGGTAGAGAAGGAAACTGGCTCATCAGTGTTTGTTTTTTGGTGAGGGTTGAGACAGAGTTTCTCTGTACCTTTGGAACCTGACCTGGAACTAACTCTTATAGACCAGACTGGCCTCGAACTCACAGAGATCCACCTGCCTCTGCCTCACAAGTGCTGGGATTAAAGGCGTGCACGACTACTGCCCGGCCCTGTTTCCAGCTTTTTGACACTGTGATGAAATACCTCAGAAAATGAACCTGAAGGAAGGAAGGTTCATTGTGGCTAACAGTTTCATAGTGTTCGATCCATAACCAGTTAGTCCCATTGCTCTGAGCCTGTACAAACGCAGAGTGTCTTGGTAGAGGAGGCTGTAGGGCTACAGGAAGCAAAGAGGGACAGAGGAGGAGCTGGGGTCCCAGTGTCCCCTTGAAAGGTGCACCCACAATGGCCTCACACCTATTCACTAAACACTGAAGGTTTTACTGTCCCCCCACCCCCGCCCAGGACTACAGACTAGTGAGCAAGCCTTTCACACATGAGCCCTGGGTAGATAATCCAAGTCTAAACCACAGCAGGCACCAAAATACAGTTAGTTCCTGGACTCTTTAACACAGTGAGGTACTTCCGGCTTCAGTAGCTTACTGTGTATTAATAAAGAACGGACAGCTGTCATCTCTGTATTTGGTCATGAACACGTTGTAGGTACGCCTGTGTTGTCATCACTGTGTCAACCAGAAAATCCTGTCCTAACGATTTTTTGAAGTGGTTCACACACACACACACACACACATAAACATACAAAGCAGAATGTTATAAGTGTGGGAAATGTTAACTGTTGATGCCCAATGTGGGTGTTTGGGGCACTGATTTTTTTTTTTTTGTCATTTTTTTTCTGTTTGCTTGAAAGTTTTCAATAATTTAAAAACTTGACCATTTATATATCATTAAATTCATCTTCTAGTCTGATATGCCCCTGTATAGAGACAATTCTCGTTGTTGGATTTTTCATAAGTCCAACCTTTGCTTTAAGGAATGCCACCGTTATTTTTACATACACATTTTGGCTGCCTTAGATTCTTTCCTGATAATGAGTTTCTACATGTAGGATAACTAGAAAACCTTTGGACACCTGTCCTTCAGAATCCTTTTGCCACATTGCTTGCCAGCAGGAGTACACAGAAAGTGCCCTGGTCTCACAAGCAGTGAAACATCCTTCCTAGTTTACAAGAACACGGTGTGATTGACTTGCACTACTGGGTGTTCCTGGGGCCAGACAACGTTCCCTGGTTTACTCTGCAACAATATTCTCCGCTCATCCATGTCTTGGACTGGTTTCTTCTTCTGTGAAAATATTCCGGTCCTGTGTTTTCATTGTGAACATTTTCTTCTATATTACCATTCGTCTTTTCATGTAAATGTCATTCTTTAATATACAAAAAATCATAATCTTATAGGGAAAATTGTTTGTTTGTTTTTCAAGACAGGGTTTCTCTGTATAACAGCCCTGGCTTTCTGGAACTCACTTTGTAGACTGAGCTGGCCTGGAACTCACAGAGATCCACCTGCCTCTGCCTTTCAAGTGCTAGGATTAAAGGAGTGCGCCACCATGTCCAGCGTTACAGGGACATTTTTAAGTGATGGGAGTTGAGTAGCTTTCAGCCTTTACCGTTACTTCAACTCTGATTGCTGCAGGAGGCACAGTGCACAGGGCACACACACTGGGCTCAAGGGCCAGTTCTGCTCCCTCTTTTGTTGACTTTGGACAATTTTCTAATCCTCGGACAGGTTTCTAGCCCTTAAAATGGATGGTGAGATTAGTTGTTGCTCAGTGCTCTAAGGAGCCAATGAACCGTTGGTTTACAGAGTGCTTAATGTGTTCCCAACACACAGGAACTATGACTCAGGTACTTGCTTTTCTTGTGACCTCCTGCAGCCTGCCAGAGTGTTGTTTCATTTGGAAAGGAATTTTGTTTGCACAGCTAATACCTTATCAGTGAAAGGAAGCCAGGTTTGTCAGGCAGAGGAATCATGCACAGATATGCTGGCTAAATGTCTGCTGTGTAGAAACTGGCAAGTGGCCAGTGATGGGGGCTCATCAGACACCTGTATTTTAAGTTGTTTTGTTCAAATTTCTTTCTCTCTGTGTAACAGAAAGAATGACTATAAGAAGGATAAAGATAGGCCATGTACACATGGGTATGTGTGCACCTGTGCATGCGTGCACCTGTGCTTGCACCTGTGTGTGTACCTGCACATACACCTGTGTGTGCACGTGTGCCTCCACCTGCATGAGCATGGGCAGAAGTCACGGGAGGACATCACATGTCCTACTCTGTCAATTCCTTATCCTTTGAGGTGGTATCTCTCACCCAACCTGGAGCTAGATGGGTGGTCAACTCCAGAAATCCTCCTGTCTCCACCCCTAACAACAGTGGGTTTACATGGACCATGTGCAGTCTTTTGTGGATCCTAATTCAGCTCCTTGTGTTTGTGTAGCAAATGCTTTTTACCCACTGGCCCATGCCTCTAGCCTTTAAATCAGATTTATTTATTTATTTATTTATTCTTTTTTTTTTTTCTTTGAAGCAGTTTCTCTGTGTTGCTCTGACTGCTCTGACTGTCCTGGAACTCTCTCTGTAGATCAGGCTGACCTCAAACTCAGAGATCCACCTGCCTCTGCCTCCTGAGGGTTGGGATTAAAGGCGTGTGCTACCAACACCTGACTAAGTCAGATTTCTTAAAAGCTTCGTATTTATTTAATTTAAGAAAATTTAGGAGGAAAAGTTAGGAAACATTTCTAATGGTTTGCTTTCGCTGTGTAACATGATTACTTTTCTGTAGTCACAAAGGAGCACCATCTTGTGTACTAGACCCGTGGATATTTTCAGTTTTCTCCTTTTGCCTATGTAGCATGACCCCCACCCTCACTTCTGTCACTCAGGTTCCTCATTTGTATAAAGATGAGCCCACTCATGGTGTTAGGTTAGAAGGGAGGAGCAGGAGGAGCCGTATCTGGAGTTCCGCTTCGTCGTGGGGAGAAGTGCGTAGTTAACTATGAGGAACCTTTCAGAACAGCTGGAAAAATCTTCCAGGTATTGGCATCACAAAGAAGTGGTAACTACCCAAGAAGACGGATGTGCCGACTGTCCCAACTTAGAGTACGTGATACCACGTACCAAGACACCACATTGTATCCCATAAATGTATGCAACTACCATGTCAACCAAACATAAAACGATAAAAATCTTAAATGTGAGATCATAGATAAAGGTCCTCCGCACAGTGTTTGAAACAGAGTGAGTGTTCAGTAAGTGGCAATTTAAAATGTTATTTATCGGGTGTGTACGCACGTGACCCATGGTGTGCATGTGGAAATCAGAGGATAAAGCAAAGAGGTAATTTCTTTCCTTCTACCATGTGGGACCAGGGGATCCAGCTCAGGCCATTGTGCTTGGTAGCAAGTGCATTTTGTCCCCTGAGCCATCTTGCCAGTCCACTAATAAGTGATAATTTATTATATTTGCACATTGGTATTTATTTTCTAATTTTTACCTTGAAACATACTTAAAGTTAAGAAGCAACTCAAACAAGTGAACCATTGATTTCTTCTCTGGGTAGCCGTTGTTCCTCTTCATATCAGCCATATCATAGTCCTAGATAATCTTTCCAGCCCACAGACACATCCTGTCTAGTCCCATACCTGCCTTAGACAGGATCTCAGGTTCAAGGTATTCTTGGCAGTGATGGCATAATTTTGCTCTACCTCATTGGATAAATGCATTAGCCTCTTTGGACCTTAGCTATAGATGAAGGAGTCAGCCTGGGTCTGACCTTCTCGTGCCTCATTCCTTTCCATGATATTGTGATCTTTGAGCCTTTCTACAATGTAGGCCCTGGCTTGACCCTCCCCTTTATTCAGCCACCTACTTTCACCTTCTCACCTAGGGCCCTTGTTACATTAACCCCAATCTCCCACCAACTCTCACCTTCTCACAGAGCCTCATGGGCCTATTGTGAAATCTGTGAGTATCCAGTTTCCCTGATCTTACCCAAGTCATGCCCTCTCAGAAGACAGATGGGAGCTCTTGGTGGGCATGGCCTGGGAACTGGAGTCTAGGACTGGCTCTGTCTTGCCTGGTACATTATGTGGAGAAGACACAGAAGGTACTCCAGGTGAATGCTGACCTTCCTGGGCCCCTGCTCCTTCTAGTTCAAACCACAGGGCTGGGCAAGTGGTATCTACAAGGGAGACAACATGCTGCATGTTCTAAGACCTGACTCGCTCCTCTTTCTTTTATAGACCATGGCCGACGTGAAACTGGTTGCCTCATCACACGTGTCCAAAACCTCCCATAGTGTGGATCCCTCAAGGGTCAGCTCCATGCCCCTCACAGAGGCCCCTGCTTTCATCCTGCCCCCTCGGAACCTCTGCATCAAAGAAGGAGCCACAGCCAAGTTCGAAGGGAGGGTAAGAAACGTGGCTGATTGGGAGACAGAATGGGGGAGAAGGGGAGTGTTCATCAAATGTGTCCTCAACAAGCTGGACATGTCTAAAGGTCTAGCCTTCCTTTGGACCGTCATATAAATCAAATGAATACCATCTTGCTCTATTTCTTGATTTATGGTGAGCTTCAGTCTCTGGTGATGGACTCAGCCATGGAGGAGGGGGGTCAGGCAAATTGACCATCTTGAGATATTTTGCTGCTCATTATGTTCTGGATACATGGCCTTGTGTCAGGAGGAATGAATTTTGAGTTTAAAAATGTGCTCCAAAATCTGGGATTCTACCAACGAACTGATTTCTCTCCCACTTCTTCTCTGGAAGGGATGTCTTATCACCTGCCCTCTTGCTCCACCCAGAGGAGTGGACTAGCAGGGTCCCAGTTTCATTTTGTCACCTTTCACCAGCGAATCCTGATCTCCCACCCTCCGGGGGCCTCCATTTCTTCTCCTGAAAGTATAAATGGCAGTCCCTTGCCTACTTCCTATTAAGTAGGTAAAGAGGAGAGCCTGGAAGAAAATCTGTAAAAGTAGCTGAAGCTCTACCCGGTGGGAAAGCCTTCTAGTCAGCTGTAAGTAGGCGTTACGACAGCTTCACACGTAGGTGCCATGGACATGAGGGAAGTTATGGGTAGGGTTCACTTGAAGATCAAGCACAGGAGTCCCAGCCCTAGAAGCATAAAGGCCTTGGTGTGACCACTCAGCGAAGTGTGAGGGATTCCTCAGTCCCCCTGTGACTGTAATCACGAGCTCCTGGAAGCCAGCGGAAGAACGGAGTCCAGCTGATGTTCTTGGAGGCCATGTCCTTACCTCTGTGTGGTAGCAGGTTTGACCCCGAGTGTGCTGAGGCTTCTGTGTTGGAAACAGGTCAGAGCTGTCCTGAATTGGACGTGAGGCACTGATCTGCCTAGTGAGGACTCGTGCTAACGGGTTCCCTCTAATAGCTCTATGTTATATATTTTATCTAAAGCAGAGCACAGGGGCGATGTTGGGGATGTTTGTGGGCTCTGCCAGCATGAGGCTCTCTTCTGTTGCCCAGAATTTAGCCCGCCCCTCTCATCTCCACGCCAGGGAGAAACCTTGACTCTTCAGAAATGGTGCACGTGATCACAGAAAGGGAGGGAGGGCTGGTTCCTGGCACGGCATTGGTGACCCTTGAAAACACTCCAGCAAATGAAAGAAGCCAGGCAGGAAAGGACCAGACCACACGATTCCATTTATATTGCATGTCCCGGATGGCATCTCTGGGAGGACAGAGAGATGAACAGTCCCAGCGGGTGGGGGAGAGGAAGATGGGCGTGGCTGCCAGTTGTTGCAATTTCTCCCTGTGACGGGGAAATGTTCTGAAATTAGACAGCCATGGTGACGGGGCGACTTTGTGGATGTTTTAATAAAATGCTGAACTATACACATGATAAAATTGAAAATTCATTTATGATGTGCCTTCGTCAGCAGATCTCCCCACCCTCTAACCACAGCACTTCTGAGAGACTACTCCTTCCTTGGCTCGGCTTCCCCACAGCACAGTGAACCCCGGCTTCTGTCACTGCCATTGTTACAAAGGAACCGTAGCTTTGAGTTAGGACCAGGAAACAAACACTCACCCGACAGCTAGCAGAGCTACTCTCTTGGACCTTCCATGAAGCCAGGTTTTCCTTATTTGAGGGGAAAACAACAACATCAACAACAAAAAAGCCAACCAAACAAAAATGAATCACAAATGACGGCTGTTTCTAACCCAGAGCAGCCAGTAAGCCATTAGAAGTGTTCTATGCTGTCAGAAAGTGTCATAATGCAGTACTTCTCTGGCTGAGTTGAAATTCACATAATAGAAATTTAATCATTACTTGGTGTTCTGTTACTGTAACAACATTGCTGTGTTAAACCAACCTTTTAAAGGTGGTTTCTTTGGAACCACCATTTCTGGTGGTTGTTTGGTGCATTGCGTTTGGGCCTGTGGAGGGGCAGTGCCTCATAGCAGGGTATACAGTAGGCAAAGCTACTCTCTGTGTGACCCCACACACAAAGAAACAGAAGGAGTCAGGGTCCCAGCCCCTTCAAAGGCACATCCCCAGTGACCTAATTTCCTTTCGCTGTGGCTCCACACACTAAAGGGTTTACCCCCTCCCAATAGTGCCACTCCAAGGACAAGCTTTCATTACGTGGGCCTCTTGGGGCCCAACCAAATCCAAACTGTAGCAGTGTTAACTGAAGAATTCTTAAGACAGCGTTGTCTTAGGGGTATTTTATTTGACTTATGTTGACCCAGGAGTTGACTCTGCATATTCCTTGTGGTCTGTGTGTTCCTTTTGAATCATCCCGAGGGCCTTCCTTGCTGCTTACCACAGGACATTGGCCGCGTGCTGGGGTATGGCATGTACTGAGGGATGTTAGAGAGGGATTTGCAGCGAGGCTCTGGCTCACTTGCAGCCAACGGAGCTATGCAGAAAGTTCTCTCTTGACACATGTGCTTCGTAGCCACAAAGACATTCACATCAGGGAAGAGCCACCTCTAATGACCCCAGGATGAGGAAGCTTGTTGTGTGGATATCAAGGCTGAAGCTGAGCCAGGGACATCATGTCCTTGTGCCCTCACGGAAGTCAGAAAATTAGGTGGTTTACTTTGAGCAGGGGTTGCTGTTAGAAGAAATTGAGCTCTGCATGCAGGCTCCTAGATGCTTGGCCAGAGGTGCCAACTGCCCTCCAAGACTGCTTCTGGACCTCTGCACCCTGCCTGCAATGCCCTCCTCTCATGGGGCATACAGCCTGCTCGGTGGCTTCTGTGCCTGTGACTGCATCGCATCCATGGTAGGACAGCAGCTCTGGGGACTGGGCTCTGGAAGGAGTTCTTTCCAGGGTGCCTTTCTGAGGTCATGCCTCATCCTTCAGTCCGGCCTGGCAGTTCCTGTTGGGTTCATTCTTACTGGTGCCCAAGGACCCCTGCTGGCTTCCCCTCCTTCTTGAGAGTTGCCACCCCAAGTGGAGGGTCCGGCTTCTTGTGGTGAGGCCAGGGATTGGTTCAGTGGATGCCACAGATGTCAGCAAGTCACGAAGACTCTTTCCCTCCACCTCCAAGGCTCTACATAGCAGTTGGGGTGAAACTTGGCCTTATTGTTTTTATCCCTGAAATCTAAAAGCAACGGTCCACTCACTCTGTTTTCCTATTATGTCTACTTTCAAAAAGAACTGAACGAACCCCTCCTCCAATAACACACCTTACTTTCTCCCTGCCTTGAGTACAGATGCAATACCGGTGCTCAGGCAGATATTTTAAAACCACGAGACAGTATGTTGGCACTGAGGATTGGTTGGAGGCAGGAGAATGGCAGTGAAAGACTAGCACCAAGAGTCAAGTGAACCCTAAGGCTTCAAGACTTTCCAAGATAAGATCTTTAGCTGTGATTATCCATACAGGAAATTTTACAAAAATAACTTCCTAACCATTCCAATGATGTGTATGTAGATGATGTCCTCAAATGATGGGCTGCACTAATGATGTATATGTAGATGTCCTTTAAATGATGGACTGCACAGGGACCATCTAGAAACTTTTTTGATCCCTTTCCAAATTCACTAGCCATGACAGACTGCCTTATTCTGAGTTTAATATGGCCCTGAATTTGAGAAGAATTCCTTCCGTCCTGGCTCTGGCCATTCAGAAGAAAATCTTGCACTTGAAGGGAAGTGGCGCAGTCTATAGAGCTGCTCCTGTACAATCAGGTCTAGGTAACTGGTTAAACTATGTCCTTGAGTGTGCATTGTGGGTTAGGTAATTGGTCAGACTATGTCCTTGAGTGTGCATGTGTGGCTGGGGTTCTGCATGCCCAAAGCTTGAGAGGTTGTTTCCAGAAATTCACAACCATTTGCCTTCATGTGCCACTTGTGCCGCCTTTAGACACCAGCACCCCACGCCATGCTCTGAGCTGACATTAGAAACCCCTGTCCTTTCATCCAGCTGTGCCCTCTCAATATGGCACTTAGGACCCATCAGTTTTCTACCTCAGTGGCCTATGAGAGCCTCTTCCTGTGACTGTTGACGCTGGGCCCCAGTGGTGTGCTTGTTCACTCATGTGCTGGGGAGGATCTCCTCAACACAGGCACCTACTGCAAGATGTAAGGAGGGCGGGCACCAATGTCCAGAACAGCCCCCCCACTGCCTGGCAGTCTTTGCAGGGTATAGCTAGTGCCCTGCTTGTTGGACCAGCTGAAGTACCTCTGGCTGTTTATGGTCACTGTGTTAAACTGTGGCATCGGCGGGCTGCCTGCCTACCACAGGGTCAGGTATGAAAAGAGCACTGTGGGAAAATACTAACATGAGTGGAATTTTCTTCCCCGTTGCCCAGGGACTCACTGTTATCAATAAACTAAAACCATAGCCCCAGTGCTTCTGAAAAGTGCAGCCGGAAGAAGAGCTCTCTGGGTTCGCTGAGGTGAGCCTCCTGTAGAATGCTGCTTTGGCCTTCTCAAGGCAGATGCTGCCTTGGCTGTGGAGAACAGAGAGGAAGCATGAGAAAACCTCTCTCGAAAGGGGAAATAATGGCTTCCGCTTGTGGTTTAACCAACCGAAGTATCATTTCCCTGAGTCCTTTCCAGTCTCCATTCAACTGAGAAGTAGCCACTGTATTCAAGCATGTGGAATTTAAATGCCATGCCTGGCCTCCACTGGTCCCCGGGAGTCCTAAGTGTCGTGGTGTAGAAAGGTGTACATACATAAACAGCAGCTGTGACCGTGTATAACTGGACGGTTGCAGAAAGTCTATCAACCAATTTCCTGCTGTGGACGGGGGTGGTGTGGAGCAAGGATATTGTCATGACTGATGGGGTCACACATGCAGTCCTAGTCTTTTTAATCACCACCGGGTTGGCACCACAGAGTACTCTGCTCAGAGATTTTGCACCTAGACCTTGTGTCCCATGCTCCATTTGAGACCCGCCTTCCCTCCACAGGTCTGTCTAATTCTTGAACTC